ACTTAAAATTCAGAGTGTACTTTCTGGGACGTGTGAAAAATGTTAAAATTAACATTTTGTTTTTTGCCGTGATACTAATGCGATCCATTCCTTTCTGATTCGCCATTTTCACGAACGTACGAACAATTTAAATATCCCACACGACGAGAAAAACTTTCTCGTGTTTTTCTATCGAATTTTGTCGCGCAACCAGAGTCCTCGCCATCGAGTTTGTATTTTTTCTTTACGTCTGCGTATACCTAATGCTTCATGCTCGATTCATGCCGCGGCCCGCAGCGGATCAATTATGCAAAACGTTCTTTATCCCGAACTCGCGTTGCATTCCGCGGATGCGAGGAATCGAGAGGAGAAGAATTCGCCGTAAATCGGCCGCGGTTTCGAGATACGCGCGCGTGCGTCGACTTGCCTTTTTCCCGCTTTATTTTCCGATCGAGGTGGACGCGGCGAAGGCAGGATACGGCTTGGTGATCTGAAATACGGGCACGTAGAACCGAAGCGAATATCGGTCGCGAGCGATACATACGATTTACGATGTATCGTCGACCCGTAGCGCGTATGTACGTGTGCGCCATCGGACAATGATAAAATAATAAATTGCGGCTCCTGGAGCTACGGCGATGGTCCACCCCATTCGTGGGGAATCGAATCGAGTTCTTTCCACGCGTTCCTTGCACGCCGAGACTAGAATAGGGGTTGGAACTCTCGGGATTGGAATATTGCCCGGATATATATCGACGTTGACTCTAGATCTTTAATGGATGTATTATGTCCCGCACTGATGTAGAGAGCGAAACATTTGTTATCTATACGTACGAACGCGTTATATATCGATGTGTGTGACGCGGTGCTTCGGAAACCCGTCGCGATATCCGTCGAAATCGTCGTGTACATTTGCAATGGTGCAAATGCGTCGCCGAACGATATAAAGTTTGTCGCGTAAAACGTTATTACTTTGTCAATTTTACGACATATTGCACGACGTGTTACAATATGCTTTATACGATATTACGTATCTTACTACGATACTTTCTCTCGAGCAGACTTTTATAACGATTAACGTCGTATTATGTATCACATTTCGATTTTTTCGCAAGAGTAATTTTTCTCCTTCGAGAGTTAATCTGTTAAAAATGTGATAAATTTGTCAATAATCGTGATAGATTGCGCGATTCAAAATTGTTGTTTAATTACACGAATAATCGATAATTTTTAATTTATAAATTATTTATAATTATATTTCTCGACCGCGGGTCGAAATTATAAAGAGTATCGCTCATTGAACAAAATTACGATACTTTTACATTTCTCGATAAAATACAGTCTATTCTAAAATTATAATATGCCGAATTATAATATGCCGTAACAACGTCGCACATTATCGTCGTACATTTAATACGCATGCCATAAATTCCGAGCTCATAAATTGAACTGCTGTACCAAACGATAATGAGCGCTCGCTCACGTAAGCCGCATTCCTCAATATCGTAAATACCACATATGCCGATAATTTGCAAATAACGTTATTTTATTTCCAATAAAATATCTTTCACACATATGAATTTCATAAGAATAATATAATATGCCGAATAAAAGAGGAAAGTAGCGAGAGAAAAGCGGAAGAAAGGCATTGGACAAGCGCATTTTGTTCGATATTGAGAAACTTATTTCGAAACTTTAAAGATGGAGGAAATTCTCCGCGGATTCTTGACATTTATTGGAATGTAATAAATGCAATGGGATTTACAAATTTGCCGGATAATAGTTATCAAAAATTTATTTGAAATCTATAATTCGCGACGATAAAATTTTCACGATAAAATTTTATTCGTAATTTTATACATTTTGTGTAATATAAAAATATTGCAATATGAAAATATGTGAAAATGTTTCGAAATATTCAAAACACATATTACATATACATACCTGTATTACGTATACAGTGTATCTGAAATGACGCACTAAACTTTAGGAGCGTATTCTAGAGATCAAAATAAGATATTTTTCTTATGAACATGGGTCCGCAAATGAACCCCCCTTCGAGCTAAAATTCGAAAATGTGTGAAATTGACCAAACACCCGCAACGCAAATTTATTTATCTCTCAAGAGAGAGTGATAGGTAACGTCAAAATCTTTTTTTTTCTAAAATACAGCCAATTTTCAATTTTTTCCCCAAACTTTAAGGGCCTCTAGCTCGAAGGGGAAGTTCATTTGCGAACCATGTTCATAGGAAAAAAGTCTCATTTTTTCAGACCTCTAGAATACGCTCCTAAAGTTTAGTGCACCATTTCAGATATATACACCCTGTATACATACATATATTCAACTTCAATATATTCAAATATCTTGGACATGTATATTTTAATTTTTAAATATACATAATAAAACATATATACATAGCGTATATAAAACTATAGATTTTGTCTTGAATTTTACCGTTAATTATGATTAGTGGATTAATGCATTTAATATTATTACACAATAGCAATTGGCAGCTGAGTAAATGTTTGCGCATTAAATATTAGTAATATACGGGCGTTTATATATGTAATTTCCATTAATAATTCCTAATACTCTTGTCAACTTGATTTCCACATTAGATTATTTCACGCTCAAGTTGCATGTTTTCGTCAAACATCAATTTTAAAATTATTAATAACAATAATTATAATAATTATTATAATAATTATTAATAACACACATAATCAGTCAATTAACGAATCGATGAGTTTTAATACGAATCGCTATATTGATCGAGTAACGTCTCTCAGTTTTGCTATCAAAATCTTCGATACCGATTATTCAAGGCGCATAACGCATAATCATAAAGTCGCACATTCGCGCCATTTAGAGCGAATGCCAGCCGTCCGTAACTTGGTCATTGTTCCCGGGACAGTGCCCTACGTGAAACGCATTCTCCCGATACTATCGTAAATATATCGCGCACGTCGACCGATATTTACGTCGGCGTGGCTCGTATATTTCGGAGCACCTTCGACCGGTCTCCCGCGGGAGACTTCCGCGTTGTGCGTCGGCGTGTCACGGGAAGCACGAGAGGGGGGGGGAGGGAGAAAAAAAATATATCGTGCCGCAAGAAAAACGAGGTCCGACGTCGAGAAGCAAAAAAATCGCGGATAAATCGCGATGGAACGCGGCGTTTAACCGATGTTTGATGATTGAAACGGAATGAGTAAAATACGAACGTTCTTTTTTTTTTTTGCATCCGGGCAAGAGAAATGGATAGTTACGTAAATGTTAGCTCTTAAAAGAGCTCCCCTGAGAGAATTAAAGGCAATTATCTTAAAAGAACTGTCTTATAAAGGAGTTTTAAATAGCTTCCACATTTTTTTTTCTCCTTCCCTTAGATCGAACGCGAAGTTGAGTACGACAATTAACTTCGATAACGGTGATTTTTAAATCGGTTTTCCTAAAGTTTCAATCTGAAATATCAAAAATTATTGCTAACAATAAGGAGCATCTTAGATTGAGATATTATTTTGTTAATAATAAAATTTATGATATTGAGACGTTATTTTGTAATAATATCTCAATCTCTAATAAGGACTTATTTTCTGCTTGCATAGCATCAATTATTGAACACCCTGTATACGTAATGCATACATCAATGCATGGCTATCGGTCCGATATCTGTTATTCTCTCTCTCTCTTTCTCTCTCTCCCTCGTACCAGTTGCCGTAGGCGGCAACGATATTCGAGACTAGTCATCGAACCGACCTTGTGCTCACTCTGGAAGCGATGCGAGTACGATATGAAATTGAATAAAACGCACTGTCCACTGAACCGATCCTATCGGAAGTCTACAAATGTGAACGACGATGCCCTGCTTTCTTATTATTATTATGTATATTCGTCCGATGATCAATGCGGTATCGATTATTCGAGAGATTTTCAAAGATGTCAGCCACGAGACACGAACCAATCGCGGATCTTTGCCTTCGAAAGTCTGATCTCATTTCGCCAGTTTCCAAGAAAAGGGAATTTATTCCGGCGAGACTATAAAAGGCAAGGCTCGATTGTGGCAAAAATTAGTTGCACTTTTTTTATCGGCGACAATAAAAATTTTCCTAAGAGCGTAGAAAGAGCTACCGAGAGAAAGAGCTCTTATTCGTACACTGAGAAAAAATCTGGTTGCATTAATTAAAATTCTGGTAGGTTCAACCAGTATGTCTGTGGAAAATGGACGAACCAGAATTCTTGTAGGAATTACCAGATGAATCTGATTAATTTTTTCCTGTTAAATTTATCAAATTTTCTGGTTAATAATACTAAACTCGCCAGCACCAAGTCGTCTAAAATTTTTTCCATCGAATCTCAAAAGTCTATTTAATATTCTGAATTCCAACAAGATTATTGGATAAATTCAATCCAGATTATTGAATAAATTATTTTAAATTCAGTTTGTTAGAAATTAAACTGATAAACAGATGCAAGAAGAGGATGCAGCTCAAACACACACAATCAGAGAGCTAGCGTTCTTTTTCTGGCACTACTGCTCATAAGAGAAAAAAAATATTCTTTGGATTTAATGTTAATACTAGAGTTCTTTATATACATTTTATGGCAAATATTGAATATGAGTTAAGTTAAGAGTAGCTCGCCGCGTAGCAAGCAAAGAAATTAATGTAACACGAAATTTTATAGATCCAACCAGAAAATACTAACCAAATCCTTATAGTAAAATCTATTAAACGTTCTAGTTATAAAAAATCGAGTCTTATCATGATAACTAGAAATTCTTGTTTGATTTAATCAAAATGCCTTCAATCATATACGTCTTGTTGGTACAATCAAATGATTTTTCTCAGTGTATCATTAGAGTTGTTGATCGATAATATATTCTGATATTCCACTTTTCTTCAAAATTGTCTTAACAAATTAAATATGCAATCACCAAATTACGTGAGATATTATGTCATTATTAGGACAATTATTTTATAATGTTTCATGTTCGTGTGAGATTAAAGTCGAGAATTTCTTGCAGCTGTCCGGACTGGTGGTGGGCGGCATCGGTATCTGGACAGTGGTGGCGAAGCACAGCTACGTGTCCCTTATGTCCACGTCGACGTACCCCACTTTGGCCTACGCCTTGATCGTCGCAGGTGTACTGGCTGTCATCGGTAGCTGGCTCGGATGCGGCGGTGTAACTTCTGAAAATCGATGTGTCCTGCTCGTGGTAAGTCCCTAGAATTATACATCATTGCACATCGTTTGACGCTCGCTATAAATCGCAAACATCAATTAAATCGAAATGTCGCAATGAACATTCGGACGATAGAGACCCGCTCGCATCTTATTACGAGTTATTATTAATTATAATTATTAATTATAATTAAATATTCTAATTATTCCAAAATTAATTCCATTGTATTATTCTTTTTATTACATCACATACATATACGCGACTAGGATTATTCATCAATCATCGTCACGTCCGAATTGCATTAATCGACTTCTAGAAACCAATGTAAAGTGAGCGACGGAGTTTGACGCGAAGTAATATAGTCGGATCGATCACAGTAATAATTCCGCTTCCAGCAGCGTGTCCCGTCAGTTTTCGCAGATATCTTAATTCATTAGATGATAAATGACAAATAAATTACATAATTTACTTTGCCTTCACTTTGCGCTTCGTAAATGGATGTTCTTTGCTAAAATGACAGGAAATGACGAATTGTTTGTCAATTGGTACGTTCATTCTTACAAAAAGAAATATCGAGCGCAATTGCGTAAGATTTTTTCTCTCTTTCTCTCTCTCGCCGGTCTTATCGACCTAAAAGAGACTCATTTATCAGCAAGACAGCATCATTTGATTAATTAATTCGTCGACTTTGCGAATGAGATCGAAAATAGCTGCGAGAGTGACTCCTCGACTTGAAAAAGCCAAGAAGCGAATATTGCAGTCGAATATCTCGGACAAAGAGAGTTATCGCTCAAAGTCTACCTTTGTTCGAGATATTAGATGTGCTTTTATGCGTGCAATTGTTCGCGATGTCGCGATACATTGTGCGAATTTCTCTTCGCAATTGGTATCGCGTTGAACGCGTTCCATTTATTTCTGATTATTTCCGTTTAGCGAAAGTCTCTCGACAACATATCTCGTTTATAGTCTGTCGATTATAAAACAGAGATAGGACGAAGTGAAATTTCAGATTGGTGTATAAAATGTTTTAAATTTGAGCAATTTTTTCAAAATAATATATGTATTATCAAAATAATATACACAGTAAAAATAAAATTAATTTTAATATTTTTCACATGTCCCAGAAAGTCCACTCTAAATTTTAAATTAAAATAACTCATTCATCGTATGTTATTTATTGACAAACTAAAAATGTCAAATAATTTACACAATACTTTACATTTATTTTTGTTATTGTGACTTTAAGTATGATGTAAAAATACAAATTAATTAAAAATTACATGAAAAAATAGTTGCAATAACTCGTAAGAAATGTTGAGGACATTAACATATAATAATAATTATTTTAACTTAAATTATTTGTAATAGAAACACTTGATTTTAGTAAATTTCATTATTTTGTCAAAGTTCGAGATTATTTGAAGATTCTCTTTTCTTAGAATGTTAAACTGACTTTGAGACATGTTGATTGTTTAAAATGATTATGTTAAAAATACTCAAAATAATATTCCATTTCTAAGAGACATATACAAAGTGTTAAGTTATGAAAGTGACATAAATGTAACACATGAAAATGGTATAAAAATAATAACATATAAGTTGTATGTTAATTTTACATTAAAGTATTAATCAAAACACAAGAAAATTTTAACATATGGACGCACAATTTTTTACTGTGTACATAAAGAAAATCAAAATCGCAGGTATAACCGGAAAAGAAGAAAGAGGTTTTTCATGTATGAAAATAAAATATATATATAAGTTTATTTTTCACTTCTTTCCCTATTCAGATCATGATTTTAATCTCATTTTGTATACATATTGCGTAAACTATATGGTTTTGGAATAAAGAACGGAATAAATGTCAAAGGTTAGTGTAGATACAACGTTTGAGTAGATAAAAGACAGAGTATAGATATAATAAGGTGTATCTCATTTAAAACAGTTGATTAGGAGAGCTGCACGTATACAATATGATGAAAATTCTCTTTTTGTGTACAAAAAAGGGATTTCTCTCTTTCCCGTTAATAAATAAATAAATAAAATGATTTCTACACTAATTTGATGCATAAATCAAAGTTTATATTAATTAATTAATAGATTATCAAACATACGTACACCTCAATCTCAATTAACTTTAATTGTAGTTTAATGGGCTGTTTCCTTTCAAATCATGCCATTTTATTTACGGTAGAGAGAGAACATTTAATTAACTATTGTCAGTAGATAAGCCACTTTTGATGTCGATTAAATTTTATACATCTCTTTGAAATCTCTCTTCGCTTTGTGTCGGTTATTTCATTTATCGATTTATCGGTATCCCTTCATCCCATTTAACAATCACTTGTCGATGCTAAATATCGTATTCTCCGAGACTTCAAAAGATTTTATTTATGCCGTTGGTTGTTAATATCGTTCTTGGAAACTTTCAAGAAGAACTTCGTCATGGCATAGCTCGAGCGTGCTGCTCGGAGTCAAGCCGCTCTTCACCTACGGGCTCGAACATTCCTTTGACTTAGCGGAGCAGCTTCAACATTATTGCTCGGAGCGGTGCAGTCTTTGTTGGAAGCGAGTTAGTTACGTGACCAGCGAGAAAAGCATACCGATAAAGGATAGGGATTATGCGAGTAAATTAAAAACTGTTGTTCAAAGTGAACTGATATCCGGGTCCCCTGAAAAAAGAGAAAAAAAAACCTGTTTTCACCGATAGTTAGATCGTAATAAAGATTAAGTAAAGATCGTCATATCTTCCGATAGAGATTTTAATAGCAAAGATAGCGATTGTGACTTTTATATATTATATTTTTTATATATTTATAAGATGTTAATATTGCAATTTTTTTATCTTTTTTTTAGATTTAATTTTTTTGGATTTTATTTTACACACATTTCAATTTGGCAATAATAATGTGACGTTACGGATCAATTGATTAAGGATGTTTTGTATGTACAATCCCAGCAAAAAGTAGCTGAAAATTAATATTGACGAATATATCCATTTTTGGTGTATTTTGAATATGAGAAATTGGGTGGAATATTACAAGTTGATTTTAACTACGGTGCAGAGATGTATTTTTTAATATTTATTACGTTTTTACTGAAATATTCCGAATTTTGTTAATCGAAATGATTAACTTTCGGCAGAGAATTTCGCCTTGTGACAGATACATAGCTAACTTTATTGAATTATATTTAATATCTTTTTAACCAATTAGTACTTGTATAATATTATTTGACCAAATATTTTCTCTGTATCTAAACTTTTGCAAATTTGAAGCAAATTCTGAATATTATTTCCATGTGTTTTTGTCATTTGAATCGATGTGGTTATACGTTTCCCATAAGAACACGTGTTAATTCGGTGCAAATTAAAATCCTTATAACTTGTGAACGCTTTAGTGAATCGATTTAAAAATTATACTGAAGATTCTAAACATATGTAAGGACATTCTGTACAATTTTCATGAAATTCTCAATATTTTGGAAATAGGTACAAAACATTCTTAAATACCATTAGGTACAAACATTCTTAAATACCATTTTCTCTCGCTTTTTTCTGGCGCGATTTTATTTCTGATTTACCATAGGCGATCGATATTTTCGCGTTTCCGCGAATTTTACGCTCCCGGAGCACGCGCGGTCGCTAAAAATACGCACCTCTGGCCTTCGACGATGTCATACAGGAAGCTGCCCTCTCTCCTCTCCTGCTATTATAAATGAAAAATCGATAACTTGGTGGCCGATCACAATGAACCGTAATGTCGATACGGTATAATTCACCGTGGACGGGACTTGGCGCCGGGTCCTCTCTCCTTCTCTATATAAGTCGCTACTAACAATGCCCGATCTCCTCCTTTGAACCTTCCTTTAGGTAAAGGGGGTCCAAGTTCGCCTTTGACCTTACCCGTAGTCTACCACCTCCGACATTATCGCTCTATCGACCGACAAAGTCTCTCTCTCCGACGAAACCAACTCTCGCAGCCGGTCGTAGGTGTCGGGGCATATTTTTTTCAAGGCGGCTTAATTCGCCGGAGGGACGTTACTCTCATCGGAAATGCGGCCGCACGCGCGCACGCGGATACCCATGGGACCGTCGTGGCTTAACGGCGAACGTTAATACGAACTTATGGCGTATCGCGTTCTGGGAATTCCTCCGTTAGGACGAGCGCCGTAATAGAGGAATTCCCGACGAGATAACCCCGCTATGTTTACACGGATGATTATTTAATAAGGTGCGCCGCGCGCGCGGCCATCCCCGTCTCCGAGGAATATCCGAGAGACGGCGCGAAGGCGGCCTCTCTCGTTCGCATGCAGCGTGCATCGCCTTGCGCGACGGGTTTGACAAATTGTGCATTCATGCAACGTCCCGCGATATTATTTTATGTGTGGTCGCGCCCTCATGGGCGGCGATAAACTTCCTCTTAAGGGTACAGCGCAGTAAATTTTCTTTAGGAGCTTATTAAATGATTTAAGGTTTTCCTTCTCGCGCCACCGGCAGGGATATTGCGTCTACGAAGGCTTGATCTCTGCATTATTTATGTTTGTCTTTTAGTATGAATTATTTTTTTTTTACAAGCCATAATTTTTCGGGGGGAATTCTTCATTTCCGAGAGTTGCGACGGTTACTTACACGCGATAAGCCTACTCGGATATATATTTAGCGATATTTCTCCGTCTCTGTTCGCGTTTTCCCCCTTTAGAAGAGGCCACTCTTCCCTGAGTAATAAATCGTCCTTAATCGGGAGTTTGCGCGGCGACCGTAATTGGTAACTCGCACTTTGGCTATATCTCCAACGACACCGACTGGATTATCTTTAATCCTGCCTAAATGATAGTTAAACACCGATAACGAGCTTTGGCGATCGTTAGTAACCGCAGTGTTCACCCCGCCACGTGGTTCCCTTGGAAATTATATCGCCACCTCTTCCACGCATGCCAAAGTTTTATGTAATGTAAGTAAGTTTTATGTTATGTAATGTAAAATGTTTCGTAAAAAATGATTTTCCATATACGTGTAAATTAGTATTTAATTA